CAAAAAACTGCGTTAGTGGACACAGATGCCCTCTTTCACTCCATCTGGAAATACTGGGGCGAGCCTCAGGGGTACTCTCTCTTCCCATGTGGATGCCAGGCTGGGAACCTCTCTCGGTGCTCCCCACGAGGGCGGCATTCCTCAGTCACAGTGCTCTTGGCAAAATGTTACAGGGAAAACCAGGCAGTCGTGGTGGTCAGGGGGGCAGGACTCTCTTCTGAGGGCAACAATGCCCTCTGCCTTGAGAGCCGGGGGACATGCTTTTTCTCCAAAGAGACCTGCACAAACCCCAGGGGACAATCACATGGGCTCCATGAAGGACCCCTCTCTGTGAAAGCTATACAACGTATGATCCGTTTGAAGTTTGTCTTCAGGACTCCAGAACAGAAAAATTCAACAGTGCATCTTCAGCACCATCTACTGCATTCCTCAAACTCCACCGGGGCAAAGCAGCAGCCCCGGCCACTTGAAAAAGGGACCTTGAGGATGGAGGCTGTAGGGCATCCAAATACTTAGAAAGAGGATCTCCAGAGTCCCGGCTCCGCTTCAGCACTGCTGCACGGGGGTGGACCCCGGGCCAGCCCCTCCTCAGCCGCTCTGGAGTGCTTTAGCTCTACCACACTTTGTCCCTGCACCTAAGGGAACTGGGAATGCAATGCACACGATGACAGCGAGTGGGGCGGGCACGTGACAGGTTCTACGATGCAGACCTAAAGGCGGCACAAGAAACCAGCCAACACAGCCCCTCGGCCTCTCTGCCACGTCGGCAGCAGCACAGGCAGGCAGTGCCCCTCACAAGCCTCCAGTTCTCCGGCCCAACACCCGAGGGTGAGCGCTCTTGGTGCGTGCTCGGCACTTAACACCGGGGGCCACGGCTCTGCTCGGGTGGGGGCGCCATTCAGCTGTCTCGGGTTAGACTTTGCTTCCTGATCGGTGGGCAGAGGAAGATGGGTTTCTCTCTACCCGACTCCAGTAACAACTTTGACTGTTTCCGCATGCACTGAAAGGATCCAATTCCAGCTGCAGAAGCCGGGAGGTTGGGGGGGGGGGGTGTTAGTGGGAGGGGCTAGAAACACTTTCAACAAAATCCTCACTCGAAAGAGACAGCAACAAACATGCTCCCGGCACATAGGAAACGACTCTTAGGTCCAACACCGAGAGACAGGAGGGCTAAATCAGAACAGGTTTTGGAAAAATTTTATTGCATTTTGTGTCCATGTGGAAGCACTGACAGTTGAAAAGAGGCAGCATGTTCCACTGACGTTTCTGAAAAATCACATGGTTGGATGGAGTTTCCCTCCCCAGGGCTGGATTGAATAAACTTTCCCCTACTCTCACCCCAAGCAAGAGCTACAAAGGGCCACTTGTGGCAACTGCTGGAAGAATCCAATCAATGTGTCCGAGTCACAGAGGGCCACGTTCGGACGCTATGTCTGAGCTGCAGGGCCTCCTGGCCTCCTCTCTCCCCACACTGACTCCAGATCTCGCTCCCGTTCTCACCACCCCTCTCACATGAGACTTCACACACCCAGTGCTTCCCACATGAGAAAGCCAGTCAGCCTCAGCACCACAGGGTTAGGTGTATGTGCCGACTCCAGATGCCGGGATGGCCCCCCGTCCTCTTTAAAGAGGCTGGGGGTTGTGATGTCTGCCCAGCATCCCGACCAGCCCAGAGCCAGGTCAGGATACAGGAAAGACATGGCTATGTGCACATTTAAGGGCCTGAAATATCCAAGCGTGAACCCACTTTAGAGATTGACAAAGCAAGGAGGAGCTGACAGTAGGATTTCTGTGTGTTTCATCAGGAAGTAACACTGCTTAATCGGTATCTTGCTAGGAAGGGAGAGGTGGGGTGGTGAGAGGAAGTAAGTGCCACAAGGAAGACATACCTCACCTGAAACTGGGTTAACTTTTTTCTCCGCAGATTGTATAAGGCATTTTGAACCGGAAAAACTTCTTTCCTTCACCCTCTTCCCAAACACCAGAGCGGGCCTAACCGCTGATGCAGGATACAAATAAGACCCCTTGCATTTCTCTCCTTACCCTCCCCAAATCCCCCTTCCCACCCCGAGCTCACAGAGTACAGGCAGGCAAGTGGCTTGGCCAAGCCGGAGGCGGGTCACATCCATGGGGAGGAGAGGAGGCCGCTGCACCAGGGCCCTGCACCTGCCCCTCTCAGGCCTCTGAGTTTGAGCATCCGTCTTCGCTGAGGTTCCAAGTCCCACGGGGGCGCCTGCCCGTGCCTCCTGGGCAGCGGGAGGTCAGCGCCCTCCTGGCTCTCCTACAGAACTGGTCCGTCCACGCACAGCATCACAGATCGCGCAATTAGCAGAAGTGGGCTTGGCCGGGAGACAGCACCCTCCACGTTAGTCACGCCAGACAGACAGCAGAGAGGAAACCAGAGCCCAGAGAAGTGATTTTAAAAGGAAAAAGAAGAGCGGCTTCAGTCACCGGAAAAAAATATTAAAAGGATGTTTTCAAAAATAAAATATGGGCTTTTTTTTTTTTCTCTGCAATGCTCAGCCATTTCGAGACATAAAAAAAGTTTTTAAGAGTAGCTGTTTTGCTTTTCATGAGAGCGGGTCGGACGGTACTGCTGTGATGTGGCTGGCTGGGTGGCAGGGCTGCCCGGGGTCCTTCAGACCACATACTGGTACGGGTCTGCCTTCCCGTGGTCTGGCGTGGCAAAGGGGCTGGCCCAGCCTAGGGAGAAGGGGTGGCCAAAAACGGCTTTCATGTTCATCCACTTTGTTTTTTTAGCCCATCTTCTCTCTTCCTTTTTCAATTGTTCTATTCCCTGAAAACAAGAACAGTCAGACTTTCAGTCACACGCTTTACTGCTGTGGCCTCTGGGGAGGGCGCTCCCCCAGCGTGGGGCGACTGCAGGCCATGCTGCTTTCCACGGCCCAGCGCTAGCTACTGAGCACGCCAGCCTCCCCCTCTCTCCTAAGGAGCATCACTGGAACGCACCACGCTTGTCTGGCAGGGCACGCGCTTGCGAGACCCGCCTGGGAGGGAGGGAAGAGCACATGCAGTCGGCAGGCCGCGTCTCCTGACCGGGCTGTTGTGGGGTCCTGACATTCTGGGCCAAGTCTATGACAACTGGATGCTGGTGGGGCTCTCCAGAGCTGCTTCTAAGGCACCTCGAGCCATGCTACATGTGGGAGTACTGGGGAGGCTTGGGCGGGAAGAACCCCAAAACTGGGGGGGGGGGGGGATGGCAATCGTGAGACCCAAAGGTGGCTGTGAATTTGGAGTAGGTTCACACAGGAAGTCTGAAGTTCCTATGACCACTTTGCAGACAAAAAAAAAAAAAAAAAAGAATAAAATGACTGCTCTGGGACTGGCGAGACACAAATTGAGAAGGTTGACAGCAGGAGAGACTGGGGGTGAGGGCAGCAGAGTCACCAGAGGAGGAAGGAGAGGGGGTTAGTACAGCTTGGAGGGGGCACGGGTGGCCCAGTCGGCCGCAGTCGGGACACGGGTCTTCAGCACGGCGGAGGGCGGTGCCGCTCCTGTCACTGTCACGCAGCCTGCACCACTTCTCCTGCTGAGCCTCCCAGGGACACTGGGAGCCGAGGACAAAGCGGCTTCCTCCCCTGTGCCCTTCTTCAGTGGAGCTGGTCATAGCACAGGACCTGGCAACGGGGCCCCAGCCCAGAGGGAGGCAGCCTGGCAGGAACCTGGCCATCTACTGTGGTCTCTGGAGAGGGGACCTGGGGCACAGTGTGGTCCAAGTCTTTCTTCCCAGCCCAGGGACCCAGGCCAAGGGTGAGATGCCCCTTTGCTCCTTCCTGTCCCTTCATACACGAAGCACTTTAGGAACGGCCTGGACAAAAAGAACAAGTGGACCTAGGGCCAAAAATTTTCCTCCTGGCCCCCAGGGCTAGGTCCGTGTGGCCTGGCAGAATGCTGTGGGTGGGCAGGAGTCGCCTCTGCGTTCCCTGCAGGTGGACAGGCTGGCCCAGTGACAGGCTGGATCCGTGGCTGGGTCCATGCCACGGGCTACCAGATACAGAAACTCTTCTGCTGCGACGTTATTTCTTACAGAGAAGTTCTTGAGAGCTGCCAGCCCTCTGCACTGCACCCCTGAGCCGACCCCAGCAGGGTGCTTCAGCGGAAGGCCGCGCTGAGCTTGTCTCCTCTCTGCACCGCTGTGCCACGCCTACAGCCAGGAAGGCCTTCGTCCTCCTCTGAGCCTCCAGTGACCGCTCACAGCCCCCAGACCCAAAGCTCCCACCCAGAGCACCCAGACCAGTGCCGAGAGCTGTGCCTGGGGAATCTAAGGAAGCCAGGGGTGTACAAGGCTGCACCCACAAGCTCAAGGTTCTGCTCCTTCCATCCCAAGCTGAATGCTGCACCATCTTCCGGAGCCCCTTAGTTGAACCCCAGAGCCTTCACAGCTGTCAATCAACCACCTCAAGGCTTCTGGAAACCTTAGAAAGGTCAAGAGGTGGTAGCAGGGGCACTGGGGAAGAGGGCTCCAGTCTGGCTTACCCAGTAGCTTCGAAACTCCCTAAAGGGGTCTGTGAGTAGGACAGGAGGTGAGGGTAGAGGTGGGGAGAGGGAAGCGGACAAAGACCATAACTGGGCCAAGCACAGATGACCAGGAGGCCAGGCCAGAGCTTGCTGTCTTGGGGGCTCAAGGCAGATGTGCCTTCTGACCCTGCTCTCTGGAAAGTGGACAGTACTTGTCCCAGCAACAATGCCATCTCCATGCCCGTGGCCTCCAGGTGGCAAGGGTGCCCCTGCTGCCTAGGAGAGTGCCCGGTGCAGCACAGTGGGTATTATGGGGGACTCAACGAGTGGTAGCACAGGCTGCCTTGCAGCTGAGGACAGCGAGGGCATTTTGGGGTGATCTGCTGCACATATAAGCCCTGAGCCCCAGGGTAAGGACAACAAGAGCCAAGTATCCCTGCAAACCAAGGAACTGTGCCCTGCATAGCCTAGCTACTGGGCTCTGAGCAGGTGTGGAGGTGGCGGCCAGGGCTGGCACTTACCGTCTCATCTGTGCAGATGGAGTGCACCTGGGTCCCAAACATGACTGACGTGAAAATGAGGAAGAGCAGAGCCTCAAAGCACAGGAGGATGAGGAGGATCACGGTGGTAGGTGGCGAGAAGGAGCTGCACTCTGAGAGAGAAGGCACTTGTGAGCTTGGGCTGCCACCCAGGCCTAGTTCAGCGCCCCACCAGGCTCCCACTCTGTTGCCTGGGCTAAGTGGGGACCATCCGGCCCCACCCCTGGCTACATCTCACTCCCCCAGAGAAGCCTGGCTCCAGGCCCTAAAACAGACCATTCCTCACTTGTTGGCCCCGGCGCCAAGCACCCTGCCTGGCACCCGAAGGACCCAGGAACTCCAGCATGAAGGTCTGATGGCACCCCAGGAGCCTTCCTCTCTCCGAGCATAACAGGTCGAGGATGCAGGTCGAGAGGCCTGTCCAGGGATGGTTTGGTCAGGGGTTCTGGGCAACCCTGTAGCAGGTGTCGCCCTTCTCTGGGCCTTCAGAGGGCCTCTGCATTCACAGCGTGGCAGAGAGCAGCCTGTGGGGCTCAGTCCCAACCATGCTGAGCTCTGAGCTAATGCCCCCACTGAGGGACAGCTGTATCGCTTAGACCATCAGTCCCCAAAGCTGGGAAGTCAGCTGAAGAGACGCTGGCCCAGAGTAGGTTCACTGTCCTGGCCCTCACTGAGCCCACCCTGGCCTGCCCTATGCAGACTCCTCCCTCTCCACTGGAAAGCAAGGAGATTTGACTATAGGCATGGCTTGGTTTTAAGCTACACTGGATCAGAAGCCCAACAGACAGACGGGAAAGAGGTGCTCCACACTTCAGGCTAGAGTTTCAGACACCCAGTTGGGAGACTGGATGCAGCTGGGAGATGCCTGGTCCAGTGCAGTGTAGGTCCTTTGGTTGGCACTCATTACCCAGTACCACATGGTGGAGCCAGGGTTGCTCCCTGCTCAGGCCTGTTCCCTGGCTGCAGAGATCGGATCCTAAGGGCTGAGCTGGGCCTCCCTGGCTGGCTCCCTCACAGTTATGGCAGGAGGGGCAAGGGAGGGACAATGTGCCAGAGCTTGAGAAGGTACCAAGCGCCATCTGGGTGGAGGGCAAGGAACATCTCAGCTAAATGCCCGTCTCCTCTCCTGGGAGCTTAATGCCCTGAGACAATTTTTCTTCTTGGTTCCTTGCTGGGCTGGACTTGGCTGGACTGGCTCTGGGTGGCTACAAGTATGGCTGTTGCCTGGCTGGCCTGGGCAGAGTATTGGCAAGAACTAGGGCTGTGAATCCTGGCACCAAACCCTGATCACTAGCCCCACTGGGATGCCCGTGAATGTTCTGTTTCTGGCCTGTGTCTAGGAAAGACATTGCACTATATTCCCTTGCACTACGGAACTGCCTGTTTCTATGTGCAGACATGTCCCACCAGCTCCACCAAGGCTGAGCAGCAAGGGCACTGTCACCCTGTCCACTCTCAGGCTTCACTTTGGGGACTGTCCTGTGCCTTCCACCCTATCAAGGATCTCAACCAACAATAGTTGTCAAGACCAGGGCTGGTGGCCAGCGCCGTGGCTCACTAGGCTAATCCTCCACCTTACGGCGCCAGCACACCGGGTTCTAGTCCCGGTTGGGGCACCGGATTCTGTCCCGGTTGCCCCTCTTCCAGGCCAGCTCTCTGCTGTGGCCCGGGAAGGCAGTGGAGGATGGCCCAAGTACTTGGGCCCTGCATCCCATGGGAGAACAGGATAAGTACCTGGCTCCTGCCATCGGATCAGCGCAGTGCGCCGGCCGCAGCGCGCTGGCCATGGAGGCCATTGGAGGGTGAACCAACAGCAAAGAAAGACCTTTCTCTCTGACTCTCTCTGACTGTCCACTCTGCTTGTCAAAAAAAAAAAAAAAAAAAAAAAAAAAAAAATGGGGCTTGAGGGAACCTGGGCACTAGAGTTAGGCAGACAGAGGTGCAAAACTTAGCTTCAGCCCCAGGCTTGAACTGCAAGATCTCTCCCCAGCTGACAACCTTGGGAACCCGCTCAACCTCTGAGAGCAGCTCTCGTCATCTCACAGTGAGCAGTGCTTCTCTACTCCCCTGCATGCTCGTGGAGCGCCTGAAACAAGGCGCTACTCAGCCCTCTGAGCCGTGCCTGGCTCCCGGTAGGCATTACCAACAGAGACCCTGCCAGCATCATTTCAAAGCCAGAGACATCGGGCCTCACGGGCAGTCAGTCTGCTAACCTGACAGGCGGGGGGTGTCTGATCAACCAGTCAGGTCATCGAGGCGTGCACCTGGAGCTGATCTGATCCTCAGGGCCTAGCAAAAAGAGTGCACTCTCCAGATTCCCACACAGCCAGCGACTTGCCAGTGACTCACGCTGCGATCTGCAGACACCCTCCAGCCCCCAGCCTCCTCTCTGCTCCTTACTCCCCACTTCTTTCCTTTTACACAGCAAATGGCTTTCTAAGCCTAGATGGTTCTCCCCTCAGTACTGAAGACATGTCAGACAAGTTAAAGGTGATGGAAGAGAGGGACTCCAGCACCAGGAGGCCACGAACCACCTGAGCCATGTCTGGCTCACGCCCAGACTGTGGAAAGGAAATGCGTACGTCAATATGCACAGAAAGAACAAAAGCACTTCAGGCGGTGGACAAGGAGACCCGTGGAGGGCACAACAGTGGGGCTGGGTGTTCCTTGCTCAAGCTGTCTGCACACAGCCTGTGGGCTCTGGGAAGACCTAGCCCTGGCCCCTCCAGCATCTCTTCTCCCTTTAAGATTTTGCAATCTTCAGGCTGGGGTTTCTTCCTCAGCATTTGCACACTTAAATGCGGTACTTTTAAAGCAAAAAAGATTTTGTCTACAATCTTAAGGTCAAATTATCAATACCAGCAACGTAAGAACAACTACCACAGACAACCCCTCATGTCTTAGCCAGAAGGTGGAGCACGGGTTCAAGTGCCCCATGTGATGACAGAACCCTAAGCACTCTGCTGGCATGGCCCCACTCACTGGAAGGGGCCTCTGTGCTCCCCCAGGGCCTGCGTCCTCCCTGGGCACACTCAGCCAGGGGACCTGTCTGACTCACTACTTTCCTGTCCAACTGACGAAGGGGCTTCAAAGGGCCTTGACCGTTCCTTCCCTGCTTAGTGCATGGGCTTGCAGGACATGGAACAGAATGAAGCGGGGCCTCCTCCCCTGAGGCCACACCCTTACCCTGGGGCAGGGAGGGGAACCCTGGCACATACTCACTTGTCCAGTCGTCTTCAAAGCAATGCAGGAAGTGAAATCCCACCATGATGAGGGCGTGCAAGGAAATGAGAGCTATGTACATCTGAAACGGGAAGCAGTGCAGACACCATTGTCATGAGAACCTTCTGCGCATGCAGGGTCCAGGGACAGGGGCCTCAGAATCTGTCACTCAAGAACACACTCAGGCCGGCGCCATGGCTCACTAGGCTAATCCTCCAACTTGCGGCGCCGGCACACCGGGTTCTAGTCCCGGTCGGGGCACCGGATTCTGTCCCGGTTGCCCCCCTTCCAGGCCAGCTCTCTGCTGTGGCCAGGGAGTGCAGTGGAGGATGGCCCAAGTGCTTGGGCCCTGCACCCCATGAGAGACCAGGAGAAGCACCTGGCTCCTGCCATCGGATCAGCGCGGTGCACCGGCCGCAGCGCGCCGGCCACGGCGGCCATTGGAGGGTGAACCAACGGCAAAGGAAGACCTTTCTCTCTGTCTCTCTGTCACTGTCCATTCTGCCTGTCAGAAAATAAATAAATAAATAAATAAAAGAACACACTCAGCTAGGCCGAGGCCTGACTGGCATCCAGTGACTCCTAGCAGGTGCCCCAGTCTCCTGCCCTGGGTCTGAGGCGAGCAGCCATCCTCTGGGAGTGCGTGGAACCAGAGAGAAGCAAAGTGTGAGCACAGGGCATGAACTGGGCTCCTGGAGGCAATCCCAGCCTGCTGCCGCTCCACCTGATAAAAGTCAGGATGCCGAATGCCCAGGCCCTTCCAGGCCCCATACTAAATGCAGTCTAAATACCTACCAGCAGCTCAGGATCCGAGATCCGTGCCAATACCAGTTTCTTTAAATGCTGGAGATGCAAGCCCTTATTATCGCTATTGACTTGAATCCATTTTCTAAATGCTCAAAAGCCTGTCTTGGGGGGCCAGTGCCGTGGCTCACTTGGTTAATCCTCCGCCTGCAGTGCCGGCATCCAATATGGGCACCGGTACTAGTCCTGGCTGCTCCTTTTCCAGTCCAGCCCTCTGCTGTGGCCCAGGAAGGCAGTGGAGGATGGCCCAAGTGCTTGGGCGCCTGCACCCACATGGGAGACCAGGAAGAAGCACCTGGCTTCTGGCTTCAGATGGGCGTAGCTCCAGCCGTGGCGGCCATTTGGAGGGTGAACTAACGGAGGGAAGACCTTTCTCTCCGTCTCTCTCAATGTCTAACTTTATCTGTCCAAAAAAAAAAATTTGCCTGTCTTGGGGACAGGCCCTTGTTGACCCAGGGAGATCTTTGGCAAGAGGCCGTCTACATGGTCAGGCAGTTTCCTCAACAGCAGCAAAGAACACGGTGGACGCTGAGCATTTTCAAAGGAACAAGGGGCTCCCCGGCTTTGTGGCGGGTGGGCCCCAAGTCGCAAGCTGACTTACTGTAAACAGGACGAAGTACTTCTGGTTGTTCTCGCCGACACAGTTATTGACCCAGGGACAGTGGTGGTCCATCTTGCGAATGCACCGCTTACAGACACTGAAACAGCCCACAGGTCAGACTGTTAGGGGCATCCGCATGGTGTTGGGCGGCCCCGAGGGGAACTCAGAACTCATGGCTTCCAGCGCCACGCCTCTCACACAGCCCTCAGCTGTTTAATGAGATTATCTGATCAACAGCACCGCCAAGGGTTTTTGCTGTGCATGTGTTGCAGGGGCCTGCAAGGCTAGGTCAGGACTCCCAGGGTCAGTCATTCACCTCCCAGGCCTCTCATCTTGTTTAAACTATAAACAAGAAGGAACCAGCAGGGCTGTACAGAAGTAGTAGTTTCACAAACTCGGCAGAGCAGGATGGAATACAGATAATGGTTGCTCCTTATTTCCACAAAAGACCAAAAAACCAAGGGTCAGGCACAAGTTCCAGAAGCAGTGCCATGTGCAACCGAGGGCAGCACAGCCTCCACCGAGGAGGGACAAAAGAGCAAGAGAGGGCCGTCTCAGAGCAGGGTCAAGAAAACAAGGAAGCCCAGCTCCAAGAACACCCAGCTCTGAAGTACCACTGGAAAACCCAGGAGAGCTTACCTGCTGATGAGGTAATCTCATTAATTTGCATATTATGGACTTGTTATTGGGATCATTTTTGAGATTGTTTCAACCTTATTTGATAGTAAACACCACCTCTACTTGACTTTGGGCAATACAAAGTAGTACAACCAAACAGGAACACGGGACTCACAGGGCTTGAAAATCACAGCTTTCCAAAGCTGCAGTCTAGAGTCACCTGCCATAGACGTGCTCATCAAACACTTCTCAAAGGCAGAGAGCTTGACTTCCCTTCCAATTTTCCAATCTTCTTTCCTTCCTTCCATCCATCTACCTACCTATCTGCTGGTTTGCTCCTCAAATGCCCACAATAGGCCAGGCTGGCCCAGGTCAGAAACAAGCCTGGAACTCACTCTGGGTCTCCTGCATGCACAGCAGGAACCCAAGCACTTGAGCCATCACCTGCTGCCTCTCAAGGTGCACATTAGCAGGAAACTAGATCAGAAGCAGAGCCAGGGGGCTGGTACTGTCGCACACAGTATTAAGCTGCTGCCTGTGAGGTGGGCATCCCAGTAACAGCATGAGTTTGAGTCCTGGCTGCTCTGCTTCCAACCCAGCTCCCTGTTAATGCATCCAGCCAGTCAGTGAAAGATGGCCCAAGTACTTGGGCTGTTGCCACCAATGCGGGAGACTTGGATGGAGTTCTAAAGTCCTGGCTATTGTGGCCACTTAGGGAGTGAACCACAACAAGAAAGCAAGCAACACAGCCAGGTCTTAAATCCAGAGACTAACATGTGCTGTGGGTGTCCCAAGCAGTATCTTAACTGCTGTGCCAAACGCCCACTCCAAAAACTGGTGGGATGGTTTATTTTCATTTCATTAAAATAAGTTCACAACAACAACATCGGTTCCCTAACATTTATCTTGTGGGTATTATTTGTTCAAAACAGCTTGCAATCCCATAAATACAAGCTTAGAAATAACACAGATTGGCCGGCGCCATGGCTCAATAGGCTAATCCTCTGCCTTGTGGCGACGGCACACTGGGTTCTAGTCCTGGTCGGGGCACCGGATTCTGTCCCGGTTGCCCCTCTTCCAGGCCAGCTCTCTGCTGTGGCCAGGGAGTGCAGTGGAGGATGGCCCAAGTGCTTGGGCCCTGCACCCCATGGGAGACCAGGACAAGCACCTGGCTTCTGCCATTGGATCAGTGCGGTGCGCCAGCCGCAGCGAGCTGGCCGCGGCGGCCATTGGAGGGTGAACCAACGGCAAAGGAAGACCTTTCTCTCTGTCCACTCTGTCAAAAAAAAAAAAAAAAAAAAAAGAACGAACGAACGAACACAGTTTGGGCATTCTTAACTTGAAAATCTAAAACCTGAAACATTTTGAGTGCTGACTTGATGCTCAGTTTCAGATGTGGGGCATTTCAGATTAGGGATGCTTGATCAGCCAAGTCCATACGATGCTCCCAAATCTGAAGAACTCCAAAATCTAAAACACTCCTGGTCCCCAGCATTTGGGATGAGGAATACTCAGCAAGTTCAATTAGATTTCGTTTGTACAAGAAGCTCCTTGGTTCACACCAGCTTTTCTCGCCAGTCATCGCCGTAACTGACTTTAATTCAGATTTCTGGATCCAGTGGGTTTATTGCCCGCTGTGTCACATTCACCCCTTGGCACTGGGAAGGATCTTGCTGACAGGCTGGAAGGGCAGGGAACGCCCAGGAGCAGCTCTTCCAGCCGCGCAAGTGACCTATTCCATGGGCTCTGCTTTCCAGGAGTAGGTGTGTGTTTTCTTCAGCCCGGAATGAATTATGGAGAGAGGCAGACAGGGTCTGAGCTACCCCGGCTACTCAGGCTTCCCACGTATGAAGCTGCTACTATAAGGAACGTGAGGGCAGACACTGAGCCTGGCTCAACACAGTGGTCTCCACATCGCTCTTCGCCACCACTTCCAAGGGCCTCGGTGACACTGGCGTGCTAGGAATGGACATGTCTCAGAGATAGCGGCCTGGCTCCAGAATCTCTGTGCCCAGGAGTGCAAGGTGAAGAAAAGGACGTCTGACATGGACACAGAGGGAAGCAGAGAGCCGGGGACCAGCAACACCACCACGCCATCTCTGTCTCTTCGTTTCTCCTGTTAGCAATCTTAAAGATACATATGAGCGGAGAATCTGGCACAGCAGTTAAGATGCCACTCGCGACACGCATATCCCCTGTCAGAGTGCCGGGTTCGAGGCCCGACTCTGCTTGTTAATGCAGACCCTGGAGGCAACGGTGTCAGCTCAGGTACATGGGTCCCTGCCATGCATGCGGGAGACCTGAGTGGAGTTCTGGGCTCCTGGCTTTGACCTAGGCCAGCCTCATCTGTTGCTCACACTTGGGAAGTGAACCAATGAATGGAAGAGCTCTCTGCCTTTCAAATAAGTCAATTTTAAACAATACGTATGAATATGTATAGATCACACAGAGGCTGTCACTGGCCAGTTTTTACCAGCACAGTGAAAGTACAGACAAGCAGACAATCAAGAGTAAGGTGTCTCCTGCACTCCAGGCCTCAGCCCCAGGCCACCCCCCTGACCCGTCACTCTAGGGGCTGCCATGGTAGTCCACTCCTTACATGTTCTCCCTGAGCTCCTAATCCCCTGTGTCTGGGGAGCCAGCTCCTGAGGGTAGCTGCCTTCCGGCTCCAGGCTCCCGAGCAGTTTCTCTTCCAAGCCCACTTCAATTTAAAAGGGTTTTAAGTGGGTGCTCTTGAGACAGCGTTGGCTCTGTGGCAGAGAGGTGCCAAGTGGCCAAACATCCTGAAAGCTGCCCGAGAGTTTAAACAAAGCCCTCAGCAAATGCCGGCCTGCACCCTCCTCCAGGCTCTTGGAAGAGACAAGGCGCAGGCACCAGGAAGTTCGGTTTCACAATGGGCTGCCACTCAGAAAACACACAGCTGCCCGTGCTGCAAGAGCTGCTCCGAAATACTCACCCTGCATTTCCTGTTTTCAAAGACATGAAAAGCCAAGACAGCCCTTCTTTTAAAAAAAGAAAATATTTATTTGAAAGGCAGAGTTACAGAGAGAAGAGGGGAGATATACATATAGAGATTGTTCATCTAGTGGTTCTCTCTCCAAATAGCTCCAACAGCCAAGGCTGGACCAGACTCAAACCAGGAGCCTTGAACTCCATTCAGATCTCCCATCCCAGGGGCCCAAGCATCTGGGCCACCTTCTGCTTTCCTGGGACAATCAGCAGGGAGCTAGACTGGAAGTGGAATACCCAGGACTCGAACCAGCATTCACATGGGACAGTGGTGTCGCAGACTGCAGTTTACCCCACAATCCTGGCCCCAGGAGGTGGTGGGAGGCAAGGTGGGAGGCACCGCCTCTCACACTGTGGCTGGAGGCACTGCTCGGAGGCCGAGTTGTGGTGCACACGAAGGCTCAGGGGCTGGAGCAAGTCAAGCAGAGGTGGGGCCTGCAGGGGCGCGGTGAAGGAACACACCTGTCCTGCTGTTTCACGCCAGGCAGCAAGCACTCCTTGAGAAAAAGCAAAAACGGACCTTCCACCTCCACCCGCCTCTTGGACTCTGAGCTCAGAGCCAAGCCCTTCCCACAAGGCAGGCAGGGGGCACAATGAGCACCCTCCCCAGACACAGTGGCCAGGGAAGACTCCCAGTTCACACAGACCAGGAGCCCTCCCCACACCACAGGGATCCACCCGATTCTTTCGTGGGATCCTTACTGTGTCCAACAGCCCTCTCCTCGCACGCCTCTCTAGCACCAGCTCGAGTCCTGGGGCCGGGAGCTGGGGGCTGCTGAGCACTGGGGAGCAAGGATGCAGTAAGTTGACGAGGAGACCCAATGTCTGCAATGGAGTGCCTGTGAGACTTCCAGGTCCCTTCTCTGTCCCCAAATCAGTGTTTTTAGAACACTTCTCCCTTCTTCCCTCAGGTTCCCTATCCCTTTTTCAGGCCCCAAAGCACAGCAGAACCCAACAAGCTCATTGGTCCCATGCATTCAGTTTCTCTTGGGCTTCTATGTCCCCTCCCCAGGGAAGCACAGGAGCTGCCTGACACTGTTGCCCATCCTGGGTGACAGCAGACATGGGGACTGTGTGTCTCTATACAGCAGCACCTGCTGAACGGTATCCTGCTGAACCAGTGCTCCTGCCCTGCTGGGGAGGCCGCTGGGGTCAAAGGCTATAAGCCCAGAGCCAAGCCCTGGGCTCTGCTGGGCAAGGATCAGCTCATGAAGGCCCTGACAGCAGACAGGGAGAGCAGGCCTGGAAAATGAACTCAATCCCACTGGCTCCAGGGATGATCCAGCAGGGAAAGTGAAAACATAGCAAGAAGGCATCAAGTTGGTCACGGCTTGCATTGAGGTTTTCACCTCACACCTCACTGGCTATGACTAAAATCAGAAGCAAAAAGAACATCTACGCCACAGCCTGGCCCAGGTCAGAAACAATTTTAAGAAAGGTAGTGCAGTGCAAGAACAGAACAGGGTTCTGAGGTTGGTGCTGCGGTGTAGAGGGTAAAGCTGCCATCTGCAATGCTGGCATTCCATTAGGCACCGGTTGGAGTCCAGGGTGTTCCACTTCCCATGTAGGTCCTTGCTAATGTACCTGGGAAAGCAGTGGAAGAAGCCCCAAGTCCCTAGGCCCCTGCACCCACGTGGGAGACCGAGAAGCAGCTCTTGGCTTTGGTCAGGCCCAGCCCTGGCTGTTGCAGCCATTTGGGGAATGAATCAGCAGATACAAGATCTCTCTCTCTCTCTAACTCAGCCTTTCAAATAAATAATTAAAAAAAAAAATTTGAAAGGCACAGATACAGAGAGGAAGTATGGAGCAGGGGGAGAGAGAGACCTTCCACCTGCTAGTTCATTCCCCAAATGGCCACAACAGCTGGAGTTGGGCCAATATGAAGCCAGGAGCTTCTCCTGGGTCTCCCATGTGGGTGCGGGTCCAAGGATTTGGGCCATCTTCTGCTGCTTTCCCAGGCCATAGCAGAGAGCTGCATCGGAAGTGGAGCAGCCGGGACACGAACTGGCTTTCATATGGGATGCAGGCACTGCAGACAACAGCTTAATCCACTGAGCCACAGTGCTATCTCCAAAACAAAACTAAAAAAAAGGGGCCAGTGCCATTAATCCTCTGCCTGCGGCGCCAGCATCTCATGTGGGCCACGGGTTCTAGTTCCGGTTGCTCTTCTTCCAGTCCAGCTCTCTGCTGTGGCCAGGGAGGGCAGTGGAGGATGCTCCGGGTGTTTGGGCCCCTGCACCCGCATGGGAGACCAGGAGGGGGCACCTGGCTCCTGGCTTCAGATCAGTGCAGCACCGGCCATGGCGGCCATTTGGGGAATGAACCAATGGAGAGAAGACCTTTGTCTCTGTCTCTTTCTCACTGTCTATACTCTGTCTCAAATGGATGCAACACAGCTGAAAAAAAGCAAATAACAGGGTTCTGAGACAAATCTTTACTTTACTTTGGGCTCCAGGAAAATAAAACTTAGCTTTAGGGCCGGCGCTGTGGCACAGTGGGTTAACACCCTGGCCTAAACCGCCAGCATCCCATATGGGCACCGGTTTGAGACCTGGCTGCTCCACTTCCAATCCAGCTCTCTGCTATGGCCTGGGAAAGCAGAAAAAGATGGCCCAAGGCCTTGGATCCTTGCACCCACGTGGGAGACCCGGAAGAAACTCCTGGCTCCTGGCTTCCCATTGACTCGGCTTCAACCGCTGCAGCCATCTGGAGACTGAATCAGCGGATGGAAGACCTTTCTCTGTCTTTCCCTGTCTATAACTCTACCTCTCAAACAAATGAATAAAAATCTTTGGGGGGGGGGGGGGGACTGATCACATAAGCCTAATGCCTTGGCCACCTTGTGGGCAGAAGCGGCTCCTCCCACAGGATTTCCATGTGCTTCCATGTCCTCACAGACAGGAGACTCCATGCTGGCAGCCAAGGCATCTCCCCTAGCGAGCAAAGGCCCAGTTACATACATCCCAAGGCTGCAAGCTCTGGATGCACCTGTGGTGCCCACAGGAGCTTGGGGGGTGGGGACAACCTCAAATTCTGTGGACTCCTTGAGAGGGGAGGAAGCAAAACACAGTGCAAACACAAGCACAGGCGCACACACCTCTGCCCTGTGGGCAAGGGGGACTCGGCTCAGCCGCACACACACACCCAGTCTAGAGTGTCACGGAGTCTGCTTATCCGAAGCCGTGAGTCCCCAGACGGCCTGGGCCAGGGTGCGCCATCATGAAGCAGCAGCTGTGCGCACACACTGCCGGTGGCAGGAAGAGTGAAGTGCACCTGAATCAGCAGCTCTTGTTTAGGTAAGCCGACTTGTTCACTAGCACTCGAGTCCCTTCCTTGGATCATGCTGGGCGAGGCGGAAAGGAAAATGCCGAGCAGTGGAGGCAGCTGAGAGCTCGGGGAAAGCAGAGTGAAGCGCCATCGAGGTTGTCCAAAAGTTACTTTCCACAGACTGGGTGCCTCCCTGTTTCTGGTCCAGCTTTTATGAACCGGCACATCCCTAACTGCTTCCACGAACAAGCAGCTTCGACTGAGAGCCAGGTGACTCACACGCCTGTCCTACTTAAACCGCACAGCAAGCTAGCAAAGGCTCTTTCGTACAGGGCAAAGAGCTGAGGCTGAAAGACATGCAGTGCCTGGCCTAAGGGCCCACAGTGTGGCAGAAGCAGCACTGGACTTCCGACTCTGACCTCTCCAAGGCCAAGGCTACCACGAGGGATCACATTAACAAGCTGGGCCTTTTCAACCAGGGGATGCCTAGAAACAGCTGCTTCCTGAGCCCCACGGTGGCAGGAAAAGCTAGATTGACAACTCCATCTTGTGGACAAGAAGTGAGCCTTGAACAAGATCTCAGAAGCCAGTGATGCAGACAGAAACTCTGCAGGTGGCAGCCATCACCAGAGGCCTCTGCCCAGGCTCCTGAGCTGTCACCATCAGCAGAACGCAGCTAGCTGGGGAGGCACGCGGACCTCTTACAGAGAGAGGGGAAAAAGCATACACGTGATCACATGAAGGCACACAGGCCATCCCATGTGAGAGTGCCAGTGCAGAGCCCTGCCTGGACTTGGAGCCAGAACCACTGAGCCAAGCCTGTCTACTACCCTCTGCAGGTGCGACTCTGAGCTGTCACTTCCCCCCACGAGCCTGCATTTCTGCACCTAGGGAGAGTCGTCCCTGAGTAACCCCTACCTTGGGGGGGTGACCATCAAAACAAAAATAAGACTGATGCTAAGACCGGCGCACTGAAATGCCTGGGACACAGCCAGTCCCAGAGGTGACAGGGAGGCCCATTCACAAACACTGCCTGCCTCACTCAGATCTCCTACAGCCCAAAGGCCTCGGCAGCCTTAGGCTGAAAGGACGACCTCCCAACAAAGGGAGGAAGCAAATTCATTCCTCCACACCCACTCCAAACACGCACAGCCATCTCAAAGGGAGACCCAGTAACACTTTTCTATTTCCATACCTCAGCACTTAACGTTGCCTTCAATCAACAAAGCACAATTTTTACCTGACTGTTATTACACTAAGACCCAAAACAACAAAGAAACCAAAAAACCAAAAGGGAGAAAATCACCACCAAGAAAGAAGGAAAGTGGCTTTTGTGGTTGAGTTCTACATTTGTCATAACCTCTGGTTCTGTTGTAGAGCAAGGCCTTCACTCAAAGGCAGCACCTTCAAGTACTAGACGTTGCCAGAACAATTTTCTGAAGCTTAGTCTCATGGTACCCTTGAGACAAAGCTGCAAAGATCAGGACTCCCCTCACTGTGACACACATCTGAACAAAGGTGTGGGTAGGCAGAGGCCTGCCAGGTCCTGCATCAGAGGCGGCACAGCCAACTCCCTGGACAAGTGTCCTGGGCCCAAACCAATTTGTGAGCACACAGGATCGGTCACTCGTACCTGCAGCAGGAGGACAGCTGGCAGCTGACAGTCCTGATGCTGAACTGGCACCTATGGGTGTGTGTGTGTGTGTGTATGTGTGGCGGGGAGGCAGGGGAGTAGAAGGGAGACAGGGCGTGTACCTGCAGTGGTGGGCTCGGTCAGGTTTGATGCTGCAGCATTTGGGACACTTGTACACCACCTGCCCGGGCTTCAACTGCAAACTCTCGATAAATTCTTTAGTAGCATTTCCTTTGGGCACTGCCCCCTGGAAGAAAGAGGAAAGGCGTCAGGGTCAGACTGGTGGTTCTGTCCATTCCGACACGGTGCAGTGGAGAGTATCACCTCCAAGGAGCAACTGTACACATGTGTGGACTCGATGTTCAGAATTATGTCAACGGCCAGAAATAGTTATCAACAAAGAACTGTCCTCAGTAAATGCCATTAAGCCACATTAATCCCTTGGCTAAATTTTTACATTGAACATTGGCTCTGACCTCTATTTTCATTCTGTTACAGTCATTTTCATTGAACTTTTTTTTTTTTTAAAGATTCATTTATTTGAAAGGCGGAGTTACAGAGAGAGGAAGAGAAAGAACAATATTCTATCTACCGGTGCACTCCCTAAATGGCCACAATGGAAGGAGCTGGGCTGATCTGAAGCCAGGAGTTTCTTCCAGGTCTCCCATGTGGGTGCAGGGGCCCGAGGATTTGGGCCACCTTTCCACTAGTTTCCAGGTGTATTAGCAAGGAGCTTGATCTATGCAGAGCAGCTGGGATTCTAACTGGCAGCCACATGAGATGTTGGCACCGCAGGCGGTGGCTTCACCTGCTAAGTCACAGTGCTGGCCCCAGAACTTCTTTCCTCTGTAAATATTAGTGATGATCTGACTCACTGACTTCTTTTGGTTTACATTAAACTTCCGGGTAACAGCACTGGCCTTTGCAACTTGTCATTGCTCAGTCTCCTATCTAACAGTTCGGTTTTCCTAGATCCAAATTTGCAGCTCTACATTTTAATGGGTTCTGTTAAAATTGCAATCAAGGGGTGGTACTGTGCCACAGCAGCTTAAGCTGTTGCTTGGGATACCTGTATCTCATATTGGAGTGCCAATTCGAGTCCAGGTCCTCTAATTCAGCTCCCTGCTGATATGCCTGGGCAACAGCGGATGATGGCTCTCAAGTATTTGAGTCCCTGCTACCCATGTGGGAGACCCAGATGGAGTCTGGCTCAGTGCCAGCTACAATGGCCATTTGGAGTGAACCAGTAGATGGAAGATCCCTGCCCCAGCCCCGTCACTCTGCTTTTCAAATAAATTTCAAAAAAGTAAAGAAAAACAGCTAGAGTTCTAGAGTTTTCTTTAAGATTTATTTGAAAGAGTTACAGAGGGAGGTAGAGAAAGAGAGGGGTCTCCTATCTGCTGGTTCACTCCCCAAACGGCTGCAACAGATGGAGCTGAGCTGATCCGAAGCCAGGAGCCAGGAGCTTCTTCTGGGTTTCCCATGTGGGTGCGAGGGCCCAAGGACCTGGGCCATCTTCTACTGCTTTCCCAGGCCATAGTAGAGAGCAGGATCAGAAGAGGAGCAGCTGGGACACAAACCAGCACCCATAAGGATGGGATGCCAGCACTGCAGGCCGCAGCTTCAACCCACTGTGCTCCAGCACCGGCCCCTAGAGTTTGCTTTCTTCCCTTCTTCCTTCCTTCTTTCTTCCATCCCCCCTTCTGTTAGGAAGGACTGGCACTCTCCATTTAGTCCTCAGCGAATGCACTGCAACTGTGAGCGGCTGCGCTTGGGCACTGGACTGGCTATCTGGCCAGGCCACCCCAATGTGCTGTTTCACCCATGAATACGCGGCGAATACTGGGTACTCTTGTTCTAAGGATGGCAGAGAATGCCATCAGCATCTGCTCTGGCTGTGCACCCTTCCAACACATGGAGACAGGCAGCATTCAGAATTGAGCAGGGCTTCAACGGCCAACCTTCACCACTCACTGCTTGGCACTGAGCCCTGTGCTCCCACACTCCGTGTTACGGGCTCAGGAATCAAACCCACCGTCTTTGCTCTTCAGGAGGCACGAGGCCTCCTAAGCTGACAAACACTTCTAGTGAAGGGCAGTATACACTGTAGAAGACCTGAAGGCGGCACGGAGGAGGCAGCAGCCAACAAACCAGAGGAATCGGAGACATTCTCCAAGAGTGAGGTTTCAGGAACATGCAGGGGCTTGTGAAGCAGAGCTATGGGAGAAAAGTGGTTCCAGCTAGGGGGAGCAGGGTGACGGGGAAAAGGCAAAGCAGTGAGAGTGAAGCCAGGGAAACGCGGTGTGCGCAGGGAGGCTGGGCTGACAGTTGGGGCCTGTCTATGTAGAGTGGCCACCAACCTAAAGGAAGGAATGGATTTTTCTGTACAGGCTGCCCAGAACCATGAGGCGACATTAGGGCTTCCAGAAGAACCCTTAGGTGCCTGTGCTATTTGGATCAGATAGGAGAGAAGAGATTAAAATCTCAGAGACCTATGATAGAGAGAGTGACAAACAGAACAGATGAGCACCAGTAGAATCTCTGTATTAATTGCTAATAAAAAATGAAAAACAAAAAAAAAACCCCTACTTTTTAAATTTATTTTATTTACCTGAAAGGCAGAGTGACAATGACAGAGGGAGAGACAGAGATCAAGAGATCTTCTATCTGCTGGTTCACTCTCCAAAAGACTGCAACAGCCAGGTCTGGGCCAGGCTGAAGCCAGGAAACAGGAACTCCAATCCAGGGCTCCCACCTATGGGCAGGGGCCCAAGTACCTGGCCATCCTCCACTGCTTTCCCAGGCAAATTAGCAGGAGGTTGGATCCCAAGCACAGCAACCAGGACTTGAATCAGCACGCTGATATGGATGCCAGTGCAGCAAGTGGTGGCTTAACCTGCTGCACCGCAGCACCAGCCCCAGTGCTCAAGTTCTCAAGAAACTACAGATGCCCGGCCTCTGATACGGCACTGCTGCATACAACTGCCCAGGTCCCAGACCCTGTACTTACGCTGTAGCAGGGCCAAGAACAATCATGCCATCCTGGTAACTCCTCTTGCTTCTCTTAGCTCCCAAGTACTATCTGACACCAGGTCAAGCTGTGGCTGTCGGATGGGACTGACATCCCCCCCACCGTGCCCACAGCCCCCGTGTCAGGTCTGTGTGACCAGGCTCCAATCCTCAGTGGGCATCCACAAGCTACTATGATCAAGGAAGTTAAATCTACATTAGAACAGCAGAGCCTGGGACTTCCTCCAAGTCCTGAGAGGGCCCACAGTGAGTGAGAACACAGTTTAACAGGCCAGAGGGTCTCCTAGGGCAGAAGGAATGAGGATGGGGTATCAGAACTTTTTCTACAAAAAAGGAATCCTGGAAAGGGAAGAACCACTAAGAAACAGAAAAACCTTTAAAGGCTCAGAATGCAAGGAAGCTGTGGTTTTGTCTTTTGCTAAGAAAATGACTCGCAGGGGTTAAAGATCGCAGCTAAGGCAACTGCAGAGACAGATCAACCAACAGCTCTCTCCTCAAAGTCTATACCATGCCAAGCACTGTGGAAGCACAAAGGGATGGGAACTCGGAGCTCCCAACAGCTGGTGGAGTAGCCAAGGCCGAGCACCTCAAGAACAGCTTGGTCACCAGTACATCAGGAGCTAAGCAAGAGGAAGGAGGACTCAGGGCGGGGGTCCTGGGAATGCCAGCAGGATCCTGTTGGAGGCTGAGCTGGTAGGGGTACCTGGCAGGGGAGGGGCGGGAATCAGTCCCAGCACAGATCCAGAGCGGGGATCTGGGCCTCTCCACCTCTCTTTGCTAGGGCCCAATTTCTCCCCTGCTGAGCCTCCTTCTGCCTAGGTGAGGACTCCTGAGACGCCACCAGGCTGACATGTCCTTTGGAGGAGGAGTCAGTTTCCCACAGCTGTGTCCTGAGGCTTACAAGGGGCTGGAGACCAGCAGAGCCTGAGGAAACACAAGGCTACTGTTGACACGCATGCTCGTCTCAGGAGCGGGGCCTGATGCCCTTTCAACTCACTCAAGGGGTTCATTAAGTTTTTTTTTTTTTTTTTTTTTTTTTATGACCTGTTGTTGTGGCACAGCAGGTTAAATTGCAGCTTGTAACTCCAGCATCCCATATCAGAGTGCTAATCTGAGTCCCAGATGCTCTACTACCAACCTAGCTTCTTGTTAATGTGCCTGGGAAGGCAGAAGATGGCTCAAGCACTCGACTCCCTGTTGCCCATGTGGGAGACTAAGATGAAGTTCCTGGCTCCTGGCCCAGTCCCTGCCACTGCGGCTATTTGGGGACTGAGCCTGAGGATAAATAAATAAATAAATCTTAAGGTGAAAAAAACTTTAAATACATAAATCTTAAAAAAAATTTTCAAAAATAGGAAAAATGATTCTATAAATTGCATTCAGCTATCACAAAAGAAAATAAACTTTTGTGGGCAAGGATCACATGGTATGTACAATGCCGTTGAGAATGTTGATTTGACATTAAATATGCCACAAAAATACATGGTGACATGAGAAACAGTACCAATTACACACACAGACACAGAGGGAAAAAGGCTACCTGCAAAAAGCATTTGTAGTTATCTCATGTAGTAGGACTGCAGGTACTTATTTTCTTGACCTTCTGAAATGCTCTATTATGAACATGTAGCTTTTGTAATATGGAGAACACTTATTAAAACACACAAGCAAAAACAAACTGCAAGAACAACCCAAAGTAGGAGTAAGACCTCCTCTACTGAAGTCTGTAACCAAGTTAGGACTGTCTCATCCAGGGGAAGAGGGTCCCACAAAGGCCACAGGGCCTTAGTTGCCATTTTCTTTCTTGTAAAAAGCAATCGAGATTCTGAAACTGATATCTCTTGTGGATCCATTGTCTCATGTACAAGAGGAAAAGTGTAAAGGGACATCATTTCTCCAAACAGATGAAGGGGCTAAATTTTCCAAGCCAAGACCCAGGTGCCTCATTTTATTTGGGTTATTATTTATTTGGGTTATAATGTATTTTTCAGGCCCAGTTTTTAAGCAGGTCCCCGCCCCCAGAATTTGCTGTGAAATTCAGTTGATCCTACATGCAAGGCAGCAGGAGGAAAGAGCAGTCAGAGCTCTTGTTCAATGGTCTCACTATTGTCTTTTTGTTGTTGTTGTTGTTGTTTAGGTTTTATTTTTACTTATTTCAAAGGCAGAGTTGGGTGGAGGGGGAGGGTGAGACATTTAAAGAACTCTCATCCACTGGTT